AACAGAAGAGGCAATTAGCTTAGTCGACATGATAGTTGAAGATGCTCACGAGAGTAAGAAGGAATTGTGGTTAATGCTCCAAGATATAAAGAAGGTATACAATTTGGTGTCATTAAAAACACTTTATGCTGCGTTATGTAGAGTTAAGCTGCCATCTAAAATTGTTAAATTTATTATCAAGCTGTTTAAAGGGAGAAAAGTCAAGATAATCACTGAGTTTGTTCTAACAGATGAGTTCAAGGCAGGTAATGGTATCGAGCAAGGTGAGACAATTTCACCTTTAGTATGGCAGATATTGTATGATCCATTGTTAAGAAAGATCCAAAACAATGAAAAGCTCGAGTATAAAGTAAGCACAAGGCAAATAGTAGATTTGCAGATAAATAGCACAAAGACTGATACAATAAGACAAGCAGCAGTTGCTTTTGCAGACAATACAACTTAGATTGCAGAAAATAAAGTCCAAGTGGAGCAGATAATGAAAATAGCACAGAGATTTTTCAAGTTTAATAACATATGAATAAATAGTGCAAAGTCCAAGCTAATAGTAGTGAACATGAATTTGAAGAAAAGTGAGAAGTGGATTGAGGTTGATGGGCACAAGCTACAGGCTGAGGAGAAAAGAACATTAACACAGTTACTTGGCGTTTGGATAAGTGCAGATCTACATGAAACTGTATTAGTTAAAAAGGCAAAGGGTATTATAGGGCACTTTGTAAAGACATTAAGGTGCAAGAGTCTGTCTATCAGTTAACTAATTTATGTGAATAACATGTGTATAGTGCCAAAATTAGCCTATATGTTACAGACAACAAAATTAATTGAAGTAAGCATAGATAGAATATACCAACTGGTAATAAGAATATTTAAGAACAAAATAGAATTGCCGGCAACTGCAAACAATTATATAGTGTTACACCAAGGACTAGGCCATTGTAGGTCTTTGAGCCTGGAGCTTTTTAGCAAACAATTAGTATACTTGCAAAATAGACTTAATAGGTTAGATCAAGTAAGGAAGATGACACAAATAAGGTTAAATGAAGGTTATGTATTGGCTGAGTTAGTAAAAAAAAATTGGGCAAAACTACAAAATCAGTATCTTAGAAAGGTCTAGAAAAATAATCTGGCAGGATCAATTTTAGTCAAAGCAAATGAATTAGGTGTGTCACTTCGTGCTAATACAGAGAAGTGGCAAATTTGTGGTACAGGTTCTACAATAGCAGAAGTAATTGGAGAAGATACATATTGTAGTAGTATTAGGAGTTTTAATGTGTTCTATATAAACCAGTTGATTGATAGAACTGGTATGAAGATAATAACATGGAACCAACTATGTGTATTGAGAACGAAGTCTCTGAAAGGCCGAAAAGTAAAATGGTTTATTGTGATTGAAAGGAAGTTGATTAGATATATAGAAAGTAGAGAGGTAGTAGATAACTTTAAAGTTCCAGAAGTGAATTGAATGTATATGCAAATAAAGGTGAAGAGGTTATCTGAGGATTGGAGATGTCGTGAGTGAGTAATCATCAATAATGAAAATGCAGATTCAATAGTAGGTCGAGTTAGGAAAAAAAAAAAGGTGCAAGTTTTAATTAATTATTGGGTTCTTGAGTCATCAACTAATAGTGAAAATAGGCTACAAAGTTGCAAGAAGTGTAAATTGAGTCAAACAGATGAGGTTGACATATGCCAACAATGGGTTAAGAAAAGAAGGGTATTAAAAGCAATTTCTGAGATTAGTACATTTGATGGAAAGAGAGTACTAGTCCTATTAAGAGAGATTAAGAGTTTTAGGTTAGGTAATAATACGTTAGCTAAAGTGAAAAGCAAGTATGAGATAAATAGTATAGTAGTGATGGACTCACATGAAAAGAGCTTAGTTGTAGAGCAGAGTTTTAATCAGGAGCTAGAGTTGCTATTAATACAGCAATTGGAGGGTAACTATAGTAGAAATGTAGATAGTAGTGTATATTATACTGATGGGTCATTGATCAAAAGTAGTGAAGGTTGTAGGATAGGTGCAGGTTGGGTACAGGTCGATAATTTGGAGGAGACGGTCTTTGCAAAGGGAAAGATTAGATTTGGTAGATGGCCATCATCAACAAAGGCAGAGTTAGTAGCTGTGTTAATGGTAGTGTTGACAGCTAGATGCAGAAGTGAAGTTATAGTTAAACTAGATAGTGCTGTGGCTATTGCAAGCTTAGAAGATTCAACAACGCTTACTGATATAAGACTGTTGAGTAAGAAGCAGAATACAAGTTTAGTAGTTAAGATTAAAGATATATGTAGATTAAAGTCTTTGGTTCTTCGGTTGATTAAGGTGAAGGCACACAGTAAAGTGAAATGGAATGAAAAAGCCAACCAACTAGCAAAAGAAGGGGCTCAGTTAGCTCAGTGTTTGTTATTGGCCATGGAGGAAAATCATCGCATAAGATTTACAGCCTACCTCAATAAAATACCAGTCAAGATAACAACAAGAAAACTAGTTAAGATGCTAATAAGCTTTAAAACTGGTGCAGAATGGTATAGCTCGAATGCTATCAAGCAGAACAAAAGTGAAATAGATACAAACTGTAGCTAGAAGCTAGAATAGAAAGCCAACAAGGATCAAGTGCAAGACACGAGTTGCGAGCAGGAATATAGCCTTCTGAATTAAGTATATAAATGATAATTTGCCAGTTTTATCATTGTTAAAAAGAAGAAAGCCAGAGATCTATTTAGATAATATGTGTGTAAGTTGTAGGTGTGTGAAAGAAACTTTTGATCACTTAGTAGTATGTACGGGGTATAATAATTATTGGAATATCATAGAAAAGGTCGCATGCTTGCTTGCATGGAAGAAGTTGGATCATGTATATAAGAAGACAATATCTACTGAAATGTTTGAGTTAGCAATTGGTGGTAGTACATTTGAAAAGCGAACCAAGCAGAGAAAAGATTATATTAGAGGGCTTATACTAGATGATGTTGTGGTAGATCTGTTAGATTTGGAGATATCAAGGAAGAATATAAACCTGGTACTAGGCAGTTATAAGGCAATCGTAGAAAGTAGCTTTCTTGATGAGATCTGGCAAATTAGATGTAAAGTAGTTGCAGAATGGGAGAAAGAAAACAGTATTGATACATCAATGAAGAGAAGCAACCGAAAGAAGCCAGGCATCAAAGGTACCAGTAAGAACACAATGTCAAAAGTAAGAGAAAGCAGAAATATTGGTGAATCAAGTAGGATAGATAAAGTAGTAGGTATTAAGAAAGATGCTGAAGTTGTAAGGTTATTCGAAATGGGTGTTGATGAATAGGTTGAGAATGGTTCAACTCACTTTTGGTTTAGTTATTGATAGAGCTAACAAGGTCTTTCGACCCACTTGTGGGTTGGTGTGACAAGTCGCATCTGGGCGTACATGATGTAGCCAGGTGATGCCGGGCTTATAATTGATAATTAGATATTATTAGAAATCTTTAAACTTTGTTTTTAGTCTAGTAGTAATATAATTTGTATTTGAGCACCTACAAGACTGTCAAAGAATTAAATATATATATATCTTTTTTATATAAGCTATTTATAGTATTGCTAATATCTATTAATCTACTAGCTCATTAGAATAATTTAATTACCAAAATGTTTATCTTGATAGAACAATTCTAATAAGCACAAAATCATTAAAATCTAATTACAGGATCCTGAGACTGTTAAAGATTAGTACAATGTAAACAATCAACTAAGAAATGGTTTTATATATAAAAACCTATTTTTCAGTTGATTGTCTATATTATACAGATCATTAATCCTAGGATCCTGTGATCAGATTTTAATAATTTTGAGCTTCTTAGAATAGTCTTATTAAGATGGTCATTTTGGTAGTTAAAACAGATCAATAAATAAAAAGCTATTTAATATTAATTTTCATAGTAATTCTAAAAAATACTATTAAAATTACACAAAATTTGAACATTTTCAGAATCCTGTAAATCTTATCGAGATGATCATTTTGGTGGTTAAATAATTCAAAATGGATCAATAAATCAAAAGCTATTCAGTAAAGGTAATTTTATAGTAATTCAAAAAATACTATTAAAATTACACAAAATTTGAATGTTCTTGAAATTCTGTAATTGGGTTTTAATAATTTTGTGCTCATTAGAATCATCTCATCGAGGTGAACATTTTGGTAATTAAATTATTTCAAACATGCTAGTACAGTAGATCAATAGATATCAGCAATGCTATAAAATAGCCAATATGTATATTTCTTGTTAAGAATTATTGATATATTAAACATGTTGGATAAGCTTTTGACCGAAAATTTAATAAATGTTGACATTATTGTTACAATGACCTGTAAAACAATTATACCGAATTACAAACTTAATTGAATTAGCCGAAAAATCATTCAGTCAATTTTATCAGGTGTTCCAGGAATTATGAAAATAGCAGTAATTGTGACCTTTTCTTTTATAATTAGAATCAGACTAAATTAGTATTGTGATTATTAAAGCTAACTATATGAAGTGGCACGCATACTGACACGAGGCTAATATGATAGCGTGTGCTTCCGATATAATTTAGTAGGTTCCAGAAAGTATTCTTTTATATTAATCAAATATATAGAACTAAAACTTCTATTTAATAAAGAAGAGGAATCCCGGTTTGCTGTAAAGTAGCATAGTTATGATATTAAACCCTCACTATATCATTAATGCCTTTGTGCAAAAAAAAATCCGGTTGTAAAATTTGGATATAATCCGATTTATTAAGTTTGAAATCGGATCTATCCGATATCCGTTTAAGTATCCGGATCCAATCGATACATAAATGAGTTATCTGAAAAACAAATTAGTAATATTTAGAACATAGGCCATTTGATATGCTACATATTATAAAATATACACCTTAAATTTTCATGTTTTTTTTAATATATTGGACAATGTTTAAAGCTGCAAAATAATCAATAAATGTCATTTAAAAAACATATACAGAAAAAATATCTGACAAACTAATTTCATAACAAATATGAATATCCGAAAATAATAGCGATAACAGCAACTAAAATGCTAATGTTGACAGTTTTTGATGATGAGGTATCAACTAGATTATCAAAGCTAGCATTTGATTTAATTTTTTCTACTTTTGAATCATTGTAACTAATAGTTTTTAAATCTTGCGAAATGTTAGTGAATTTTGAATCTTGCGTATCTTTTAAACTATCATTTGAATCATTGTTAACAATAATAGAGCTTAAATATTTCTTGAAATTAAGATTATCGTTCTTATTATTAATAGTATCGTTGCTAGAAATATCTCGTGTATCTTCGGAACCATCGTTGGAACCATCGTTAGTAACACAGCCAACAGTAGAATTATTAGAATCTTGATCTTGCTTGACGTTAGAATTATCATTGGAGATACCACTAGAATTACTGTTGGTAGTAATAAGAACTGATTCGTTTTTAGTAGAAATTGAATCTAGTTTGGTATTAGAATCAACAATACTATTATTAGAACCATCATCACTAATATTTCTTGAATCATCATTTTCAGGAGTAGAATTTGAATCTTGTGTATTGTTGGAATTATCATTAAAATCATTGTTGTTAGCAATAATAGGATCTATATTTTGCTTAGCGTTGTCACTAGAATATATTGAGTTTTGATTAGGAGCATCATTGTCAAGAGAAAGTTCTAAGTCTTTAGAACAATCATTAGAATCATCGTTAGCAACAATAGAATCTAAATTTTGTTTAACGTTAAGATTATCGTCTCCACTAATAGATCTTGTGTTTGACACTGCATTAGAATTATCATTAGAATCATCACCGTTAGCAGTAATAGAATCTGGATTTTGCTTGACGTTAAAATTATCGTCGTCACTAATAGATCTTGATTTTTGCGTATAATTAGAACTATCGTTAGAATCACCGTTAACAGCAATGGAATCTGGATCTTGCTTAACGTTAAAATTATCGTCTCCACTAATAGATCTTGAGTTTTGCATAGCATTAGAACCATCATCGCCAGGAATAGAATTTAAATCTTGTGTATCGTTAAAACCATTAGAAGTAATAGAATCATTATTTCTGGGAGTAGGATCGGAATCTTGCGTATTATTGGAACTATCATTAGAATTGTCATTGACAATGATATTTTCTGGACTTTGCTTAGTGTTATGGTTATCGTCATCACTAATAGATCTTTGAATAGCATTAGAACTATCGCTACTAGACGTAAAGTTTAAATCTTGGGTGTCTTCGGAACTATCCTTGGAATCATTGTTGATAACAATAATAGGAGCTGGATCTTGTTCGGCGTTAACATTAATGTTGTCACTAGTAGATTTTGAATTTTGATTACATTCATCATTGTCAAGAATGTTGGAATTATCGTTGATAGTAATATTGTTATCACTAGTAGATTTTGAATTTTGATTATTTTCATTATTGTCAAGAGTAGAATTTAAGTCTTGTGCATCTTCGGAATTATCCTTGGAATCATTGTTAATAGTAATAGGAACTGGATCCTTTTCCACGTTAGTATTATTGTTATCGCTAGTAGATTTTGAATTTTGATTACACTCATCATTGTCAAGAATATTGGGATCATCGTTGATAGTAATAGGAACTGGGTCTTGTTCGACATTAATGTTATTGTTATCGCTAGTGGATTTTGAATTTTGAATATTTTCATCATTGACAAGAGTAGAATTTAAGTTTTGCGTATCTTCGGAACTATCCTTGAAATCATCGTTGAAAGTAATATTGTTATCGCTAGTAGATTTTGAATTTTGAATATTTTCATCATTGTCAAGAGTAGAATTTAAGTCTTGAGTATCTTCGGAACTATCCTTGGGATCATCGTTGATAGTAATTGGAACTGGATCTTGTTTGACATAAATATTATTGTTATCGCTGGTAGAATTTGAATTTTGATTATCTTCATCATTGTCAAGAATATTGGAATCATCGTTGATAGTAGTAGTAGGAACTGGATCTTGTTTGACATTAGTATTATTGTTATCGCTAGTGGATTTTGAATTTTCATCATTGTCAAGAGTAGAATTTATGACTTGCGTATCTTCGGAACTATCCTTGAAATCATTGTTGATAGTAATAGGAATTGGATCTTGTTCGACATTAACATTATTGTTATCGCTGGTAGATTTTGAATTTTGATTATATTCATCATTATCAAGAATATTGGAATCACCGTTGATAGTAGTAGGAACTGGATCTTGTTCGACATTAGTATTATTATTATCGCTAGTGGATTTTGAATTTTCATCATTGTCAAGAGTAGAATTTATGACTTTTGTATCTTCGGAGCTATCCTTAGAATCATTATCGATTGTAGTAGGAACTGGATCTTGTTCGACATTAGCATTATTGTTATCACTAGTGGATTTTGAATTTTCATCATTCTCAAGAGTAGAATTTATGACTTGCGTAGTATCTTCGGAACTATCCTTAGAATCATTGCTGATAGGAATAGGAATAGGAACTGGATCTTGTTCGGCATTAGTATTATTGTTATCGTTAATAGATTTTGAATTTTGATTACATTCATCGTTGTCAAGAGTAGAATTTATATCTTGTATATCTTCGGAGTTATCCTTGGAAACATTGTTGATAGTAATATCTTGTTCGACATTAGTATTATTATTATCGCTAGTAGATTTTGAATTTTGATTATATACATCATTGTCAAGAGTAGAATTTAAATCTTGTGTATCTTCGGAGCTATCCTTGACAGTGATAGAAATTGGATCGTGTTTGATATCGGAATTATTATTAACAATAGTATGCCCCGAATTTTGTTCAGTATTATGATCAGGAGTAGAATTAGAATCTTGTTTAGTATTAGAATTATTGTTGTCACTAACAACGACATTAGGATATAAATCTTTCACAACAGGGCTATTGTTACCGATAGTTGAAATTTCATTAAAATTACCGTTAACAGCGTGACTATTTTGATCATGATCAGATTTATTGTTGGTTGCCACGCAATCCCTTTGCAGCTCTGTATCGTTGAAATTATCATTGGTAGCAATAGGAGCTGAATTGAGATTATTAAAATTATTGTTCATGATAGTATGAGTTGAATTTTGCTCAGTATTATTATAATTAGGAGTAATATTTGAATTTTGTTTGGAATTTTCAATAGATTTGCTGTTAGCATCAATAGGAACTAAATCTTTTACAAAAACAAGGTTGCTATCAATAGTTGAAATTTCATTAGAATCACCGTTAATAACGGCGCCATTTTGATCATTATTATTGGTTGCCATATCGTTTATTTGCGGATCAGTATCGTTGATAAAAGGAGTTTTGCTATTTCGTCTCTGTTTTTTCTTTAAACTTTGTTTTCTTTTTTTTGATTTATTTTTTTTAGTCGTCATTGCGTTTCTTTGTGGATATAATATATCGTTAAAAAAAAAATGAAAATTTTGTCGTTTTTTATTTTTATTTTATTTTTTGATAAGTCAAATTTGATAAGGATCTGAAATTGTTTCATGTGATGTGAAAATCCAAAAAGACCGTGCAGAAATGACATTCCTCATGTGGATTAGTTCACATTCCTTAAAGCTTTAGTAGGAATGGCATCCCTATTGTAGTTAAGAAGCACTACAAATCGGGCATTCAATAGACATCAAGAGATAAGGAACCCAACCATTAAGTGCGATTAATAGTATAAATATTAAAATAACTATATGTATATATATATTGAAAGTTGATCTGTGTTGATCCTTCGTTAGCGTTAGATGATCGCCAATTTTAACGCTTGGCAAGACTATCTTTATAGCGATACGTAGTGTTTAATTATACTACATGATCGCCTGAGAAAATTGCTACGTGCGTTGTGCTATTTCACAGAATCGACAAGAAAATTCCCCCGCAAACTCAAATTTTACACCGCCAATTTTTTTATGATGGTATTCTATTACTATTCCTATTTGTAGATACTAAACAACAAGCGTTAGTAGCAAGATGTTAGAACAGCACATTATCAAAATGATTGAATTAAAGCATCATTTTGTTTATTTTTATGACTGCTTCTATCGCTATCACTATCGCTATGTATCGGTTATCATTATATTTGTTTTTTTTTCTGTTAGATCTTTTTTGCCACCTGAGATAATCACAGATCGTCAAGACTATGAAAAATTTTAATGAAAGAATTTGTTGATCGTTTCTAAATTCACCTTAGATCGCATAACAATCACATTCAAAAAAACTTAATTTTAATGCATTATATTGATCTCACGATTCGATTATTAGTATGATAAAAGTTTTAATTCATGAGTATTATCCTTATTGGCACTACAATTTTTCACACCACTAAATTTTTCTAAAAATAGCCTCGTTTGTTTACTTTACTGTATACCCAGTATACTGTTACAATAGGAAAACATGACTTATCCATTGGCACGTGCCAAGAAACTATTTACATACATACGTATATAAAAACGTGACTCAAAGCCATAAATGTTACGTAACATTCATAAAAAAAAAAAGTAATACTGTAATAACTAACGAATAAAATTTTTTTCATTAGCAATTGGAAAATTAATTAAAATTTGCAAATTTATATATTAAATTATTATTTTTAAAACCTAACTACCATACTTTGTTATTATTACGAATTTTAATTTTGTAAAGTATACGTAGTTTTTTAAAAACAAAATTTTATTAAAATCTTTGATAGCTATAGAAAAATATTGTACAATTAATAAAAGCAGCAATTAGAAACTATAATTTTTAAAACCTTACTACTTTGTCAATATTACGAATTTTTTTATTTAAAAAACTAAATTTAATAAAACGCAATTAGAAGACGTCCATAATTTACGTTAAACCAGCATTGTTATAGGGATCTTAAAGATACGTAATACAAAAATAATACTATGCGAATTATCTTCAAGGTCTCTATTTTTTATGCAATATTGTACTGGTTTACCGTAAATTATGGATGTCCCCTTATCACTGTTTTCGAAATGGTTGAGAATCAGGGCTAAAACGACACATAGTAAATACCGGCCATTCAATAAGTGTCGTTTTTGATTCATATTATATTAAAATT